TCCCAACTCAAACAAGCGGCCACCCCCCCCCCCACCCCAACCTCCGGGTTCTCTGATTATCCCCCTTACTGAATGCGTCTGAAAAAAAGTAATTCAATGGATGCGCTGCATGTCAACCGAAAAAATTGAGACAAGGAACCGATCCCTTGGCTTTTCCGGGACTGGCCCGGATGGAGATGTGAAAGTTACAGTCCCGTCTTGTGCTCACCGGTGCGGTCGCTCCCTACTGGCAGACGTTTTGGCCTCCTCCACATGTTTGTGCAGTCTACGGTCTCGCTCGGCAGAGCGTGTCCATCTGGGCTTTGCGTTCCTCAGGTCCCGAGAGCAGAAAATTGCCTCCTCACCCGTGAGGAAAAAGAAGAAAATTGGCAGCACATTTGTTTTTGTGCGAACAAATGAGCTTTTCATCCTCTTGTGGGCCGCCAGGATTCGTGTAATTCGGCTTGTCTGTCTTCACAAGCCTTAACAAAGCACATTGGTAATTAGCAGATGACCAAAGAGTACAATCCGTCATCAAAAGACAGAAGCTGGGCTGCGTGTACTTCCAGGGCATCCGATCCTCACCAAAGCCAGCAAATAATCACACATCATCAACACATCAAAGTTGAAGAAATGATTCCTAGTCATTTATTGGACATGGTTTGTAATTCGTGTCGGCCAGATGAGCCGAATAGAATCTGTTCAGCATCTGGTTTGAGCTCCAGCTTCTCATAGCTCACCATCAAACTTCATCTGGATCGTCTCCCGCGTTCACCCATTTGGTGAGAAAACAAGCGGGATCAATCTTCGATGGCAGATGAGCCCACGTGGGGGTGCGGCGCGATCGCTCGTGGTGTCCCATTAGGAAACCGAAATGAGGAAGAAACCCATCGAACGATGGATGATTCTTTTGATTCCTCGCCCTCCCGACAGCAAGAGTTTTGTGCCCCTGTTTTGGAGACGGGTCTTGACCTCATGGAACAGGACTTCCTGAGCATGTGGCAGCCATTTATAATCCTTGCGCTGTTCTTGCAACTCAGTTAAGAGTTTTTCTGTCGGCGCCGGCGCATATGCCAATCAAGAAGCGGAATTCCAGCACAAAAACTTTTTCCACAAGCTTTGCGCTTGGACCCGCGGCTCAAAACGTGACACTGCAGCTCTCGCAGCGGGATAACAGCAAAACTGGCTGCATTCTTTCGCTTGCTGTTTATTCAACAAATGAGCCTTTCAACTTTCCTTCCAGCGTGACTTCTTCACACCAGCGTTTCTGTGATCCCGCAACCTCTGGAACCTCAAGCTGTAATAACAACAAATACCAAAAAAAAAAAAAAAAAATCACGGGGCCTCACGCAGGCCCAAATTACGAGACCAACTCGGTGCACCACTCGGCCACCATGAGCCTTTCGGGGGCGTCGGCTGCCGTCTTTTGTTTTGGAGGGGCATGCGTCCCCCTGGATGTAGCGAGGTCAGCTTTCTCCCAGCGAGCTCGTAAATACAAGCTGTGACAAGGAGCCGCCTCCTGCTGGTTTTATGGCTCGCTGGATTTAGTGCCGCTCGTGTCTCTCGGGCAGGTGGAGCGGCAAAG